TTTTACCACTATATTTTTGACGACGATGCTTTTAAACTGCGAAGTTTTTGAACCGCTTTATTTTTGACAACGATATTTTGTACCACGATGTTTTAGAATTGCGATGTTTTCTCCCCCGATGTTTTGCACCACGACGTTTTCTCCTTGCGTTGTTTTCTACACGACGTTTTCGTCCGCGATGTTTTCGGCTGTAACCCCTCATTCAGAGTCTTATCAAATCTTTCGATCGTAGCGCATTCAACTTCTAGATTTGCTATAGTAAACCTTTGAATTGTTGAACCTTTGAACCATTTGTTCAGTGTTTTTAGTGATAAATCTGTATCTTTACAGGTCTGAATCCTCATAGGAATTCGTTCTTTACAATATATTAAACGCGTTTGTGACTTCGGGTTTTTTTTTTTTTTTTTTTTTTTTGAAATAGCCCACGCATATTTTACAAATTGAGGCTGTAGTTGACCGATTTAAACCCTAGGCTGCAGGGTCGAACAAAAAAAGACGCAAATAGGGAGTATGGACCTCTCTAAAAGTCACACAGCTCTCACAATGTGACTTCATAATAGAAATGGTGTAATTCATGAGTCTCAGTGGCAACAGGTTTGACACCCTTAATAATATTATTTTCAGGTACTAGAGGATTCAGAAGAGAAACCGCGAATTGTAATTGTTTTCCAAGAGTGTTCCAGACTTGTCTTTAGGTCTGAAGATCCAACTGCCCAATCTGATTAATACCCTTATTTTCTAGATAAACCATCAGATTGTGCTATATGGAAAAGCGTTGTCACTGAAACAGATGAACTGAGACCTTGTTCTCCGAAAAAGGCTAATGTAGGACTTTAAGATCTGTTCCCCATACCTCGTAGCATTTATAGTCCGTTCCTCGAATGTTTGAGGATAGCAATTCCGTGGTTTTCTCGAGATGAACTCAGCTAGGCTGCCAGTAGATAACCAATAGTTAGGCTGACTTGGAACTCATCTGTTGAGATTGAGGTTTGGTCCAAAATCAATTCCTGCATCATATTAAACAAGCTGTCTCGTACGCAGAAGAGATCGAGATGCAAATAACAAGACATCTTACAAACATAATATCTTTGAATTCTGTTCGTCTTTTCAAGAATCTAGTTAGCTTTCGGTTGATTTTTTATGACTGATAAATCTCATTCATACAAGACTAATCTAAAGGATGATTTATAAGGTTCATTTTCTCTCTCTTTTCCGTATGCTTTCGTCGTGTAATGGTAGCATATTCAGCGAATGTTCCAAAAGTCCCGGCGAAAGCATTACGGTTTACCTCAGTTCCTTGACTTTGAAGAATTCTAAAATGACTCTAGAGATTTTCTGGTAAGTTACAGGTATTAAACGGATAGATTGGCCAGCTAGATCTCCAGCCGTAAATCTTAGAATACGTCCTTGATGCCCATGAGAAGCAGTTACTATTCGCCTCCCTCGCCCTAGAACCTACAAACAATGTTACTGCAGGTGTGAGCCAAACTACTAAAGGGGCTCACAAATTGCCTCATTTCCAGTATAGTCACGCTGCGAGAGCTGAATGACTGTCAGAGAGGACCTTAACCTGTATTAGCCTCCTTTCTTGTTCAAACTTGCAACCTCTGTTTTAGACCTTCCTGCGCCAATGAGCCTTACGCACATCATGCGTATGTAGAATGACTTTTGTGTAACATATTTTTCTGTCTTATAGTATTGTATTGCTATTTTATTCTGTGTCCGACCAAATTCACTTAAAATCTATCCATCAGTTCTAGAGATAATCGCGTAAATGTGAAAATTCTCTCAATTCTGTTCATTAGTGTATAAGCAACTGGTAATATTTATACACCATTGCAGCTTTTCTGTAATTAATGAAATATTCTTTATCTTCTACAAACCTTCACGCTCGGCCAGTCCTCAGCATTGCCGTTCGGCAAAACATAAAAATCTTTCATCTATTTTTCAGATTTAAAAATCGTTAAGGGACCGAGTTATTTTAAAACAACAAACGCTATTCTTGATAATTTGAGTCTTCTTTTTTGCTTTCTTTAAATAATGCATTTGATGTAAATGCAAATTTATCCGAATGATAATTTTTATGTACAGTTATAGCTTTGTGTTAATTGTGTAAAAAAATATTTTTGAAATAAGATATTACGTGTCGCATAGAAAATCATCCATGTTTTTCAAATATGCATTCAAAATGCTTCCCTTCAGATGTTTAAAAGTTCTTAAAATAGTTCAATTCAGTAGTATTCTATATGCGGAAAATTTCCGGCTATAAGATTTTATTAGAAATAGCATTAATATATGATGTCAAATGCATAAAATTTAGATGCAAATGAAAAGTTTCTTATATTCTCGAAAAGCATACTATGTGTGCTTGCTTAAGATTTTTTCTACAAAGTACTAAAATTTCGTTACAATTGCAGAATAATGGGAAAATTTTGCATAAAGTGTCATCGCTTCTTTTGCAATGCTGGTAGGTGTTCAAAAATTTAAGCTTAATATTAGGTATTGACAGTCTATCCTCGAGGTGAGGTATGCCTTAAAATAACGCCATTGCAGTTCTTCATGAGAATCAGCATATCAGCTCTAACTACGGATCTTACAAACCTTACATTTTCGCCGTGACCTAACGGCGCGAATTGTTCGATTTTTATGTTTTAAGTTTTAACACTGGTGTTCTTATTTCAAGAGTATTTAGACCATCAGCTCTTCCAAAACTCTATTCTTCTAGTCACGGCGTATTCGCTTAGCGTTGGAAAGGACAGTCCATTTACTGTACGGTTAGCAAGGTATTCAATTATAATTTTCACAGCTGGGAGAGAAAATAGCACAATAATCAGCGTCGTTGCCAACGATCTCTTCTTAACATTCAAGAACTCGGTTCTGGTAGGATACGAACTGCGCGAAATTTAATTGGAGATCCCCTCCTTTCTTTTATCTAATCCACGAACTGCTTAACGTTTTTCTGTCCCCTCTTTCTAAGAACTTCCCATGAAGATGGGTGCTACAAAAAAGTCATTTATCGCCATTAATGGGACATTTTATTGCGACTAAAAGCCTCTATTTTCATTTACGAGATATTTTAAAAATTGTGCATACAAAGGAATTATTAATTTAAAATCTGGCGTCTGCTAAAGTAAAAATGAATTTTTTTACACTCATTTTAAAGTTTTATGATGCTTAAAAGAATAATGAGCTAGATCTTTTTTATTCTCTATAAGAATTATAAACTTTTCAAGTTGTAAATTTTAGCTGCTGGTATATATATATTGTTTTGCAATTCTGAGATATATATCAGTTTTGTATAAAAAAATTGATAAATTAATGACATACATCAAACTGATGCATAATCACTCTATCAAATATCGGATCTGTAGCGCACCTTAAATAGGTTTTCTTGTCTAGATAAATATGAACAAATCTTCTTAGATAGCAGAATGGTTTTAACTTTCAAATTTACCATTTTAGGTAATCAGTTCTAATTTAATTTAAAAAATTCGCTTTATTAAATTTAAAAATTGGATTTCTTAAGTGGTTCTAAATTCACACTAATATTATTCAATATATGCTTTATCAAGCTTTCCAATTTTAATTATTGAAATTATTTTAAAGTTATTTAACTTTCTTACAAATTCCATATTTTAATGTTAGAAACGTTTAAATATTTATTCTATTTTCCAGTTACTCTCCCTGGTGTACTTTGGCATACGTTTAATTTCTAATACACATTTAATTAATAAATTGATAATTATGAGCATCAGCAGAATTTTCATAATTAAAAAAAATTATTTCCTTTACATTCATATCTTGGGATTTTCAGTTCCCTTTTAATCCATTCGTTTTTCACATATTGTTGCATTGTATTCAAGCTTTCATTTATGTAGAAATTTATATATTTGGTATTGTATTTATGACAATTTATATTTAAATGATAATTTTTATAATTTCTTGCATCATAACTCTCGTTAACAGAAGATATTTCTAACACCTTGGTAAAGATTAAATCTTCAGCATGCAGCTTATTTTCCAATCTAGTTTCAGGCTGAATTATTTGTAAAATTAATTATTTGAAAATATTTTTAAGCAAAGATGGTCGCTAAAACACGCTAATAATATTTCTAAATGTTTTAATTTATAATGCAACGAGTTAATGTGATTTATAATATAATAAATTTATAATTTTTTCAGCAGTATTGAAACTAACAGCAGATGCTGATAATGCTTTACATTTAGATTACAATTATTTAGATTGTCATTGCCTTCTTCGTTGATGCTTTTATGCTACATATCTAATATTTCGGCTGATCAGTGGCCGAGCGCTGAACACTGGTAGTTCAGTCTGAGGTTCGAATCCCGCGAACGGGCTGGCTGCATGGGCGTTTTCGTGGTTTTCCCCATGTGTAACGTGTATACGAGCCAGTTCCGTTAGAAAGTCCTCCACGAAGGCATCCCTCCCTTTAGGCAATTTTTCCCTCGAGGCCTTCCCGTAATCACATGAACTAAACAAAACTAACCTAATATTTCATAATGGTATACATATAAGTTTAACTCATTCAAATGAATGCTTACGATTGAGAGAGTCATGATGCATTCTCTTTTAAAGTTCATTTAAAATATCACGCTGATATTTAATTTGATAATACAGAAATAGTTTCATACATGTTAACTTTCTCATGGCCAATCTTGTGTGTGAATTTAAAAAAATAATTTTTAAATGCTAATACTGTATTTTATAGAGAGTAATAAATTAATATACATATTTTGATGTATTAACACAATTTCTGGTACCATTTATCTTATCTTTATTATTTATTGTGTGTTGAGATAAATATACTGACAGCTAAATTAAATAATGCTGCTTCTCTACTGATGGTTGTTAATGTGCTGTATGGTATAAGAATGTTGGGGCTCACAGATTGTTCTCCCATTAAGAGAGCGAAGTATCATGTGTACGGAGTCATTAGTGAAGTATTTATGTGTAAGGAGAGAAGAAAGAAAAACAAATGTTGTTTTTATATATAAATAGGCGAATGACTTTAATAAAAACAAAAATGTAAACTGTACAGTTATTGTACAAGAACACAGCCTCAAAACAGATATCTCTATAGAAGAGCGTAACGTTCTTCAGGCTGTGCTTCATTCCGAAGATCCAATCCATGCAACCTTAGTCCGTTAATCGTAGCCAATGGTTTTTGTTTTGTGTGTATTTTTCTTTTGTTTTTTTCAACAATTAAAATATCTACGAGGAGAAACATGTAACCACGAGATGTTGAAACCCTTGCACCCTTTCTGGCCCCTCTCATTTGATGGAATTCTCCCAGGTTTTCCTTTGTTGCTGATGGCCATCCTCGGTTTTTATTGATTCTCTCATCATTTATTTCTTGTCCCAGCCGTGATGTTGTTTTTCTTCCAAGCTAAAGAATGAGAAGCAAAAAGAATTATTAAGCATTGTTTAATGAACAGAGTTACAATAATGATCTACAGATTTTGATTCATATTTTAAAAATGTTCATTATATCAATTTGAGTGTAGTGGGACCAGTTTTAAGATACATTAAGATTTATTTGCACATCTATGGTGCTGCTTAAATTGAAATAAATTTGTCTGTAATTTTAAGTTGTAACACATCTAAATGCTTATGTACTTTATGCAACTATTTTAGTTGTAGTGAAATATTTAAAGTTTTTTTGAAATTTAATGTATGGAATTATTTCATAAATACTTCACATTTCATTTTATGCACCTAAAATAACAAAATTTGCTTTTTCTTCGAGTTACAAATTATTGTCAGTTATAAAAATATAATGTCTTTTAACTTAAGTATATATTTCAAGAGAGAGAGAAGTGTGTACAAATTCGTATGTAAAACAGCAAAAATATCTGCTCCATTTGTGTTTTATATATCAAATCTAGACAGCATTTTCCTGCCACTGATTTTGTTTACATATTATGTGTAATTTTTAGGATAAAAGGAATTGATTATTTTAATATTTCGCTTCTTCAAGAAAACATGGATTTAGCATTTCGAAAGCATTATACATTGCCAGTCTAACGCATCCATATGAATACTCGTCATAATATTTTTTTTTTATTTTCTGGTGCACCTAAATAGTAAAATCCTATAATAATAATCTGCTGGCACTCTGATAATCGTACCACTGAAAATCTGAAATTTAAATTTTGATTTTTGTAACATCAACTGAATTTTGAAATTGAAAGTGTTTGTTTTAAAAGTTCAGCTGATAAGAGGTATTTTGTTTTATTTTCAAAGGTAATTGAATGAAAAGTTTTAAATTTTGATGTTCTAAAAGTTGCAGAACTGAAAAGTTTCAAGTTAAGATTTTACCCAAATAATTTATCTTATCTAAAAATCAAGAAAATTTCTGTCATGCGAAAGTATCATATTTCTTTCACTGATTTTCTTTTACAGATAGCATATCTTTTATTAGGACTATTTATCTTTCTTTTTTATGTTGAAGTTGTAATTACTAAATTTTTTACGAGGAAATATATAAATTCTGTTAAATTCTATTATTTACATAAAAAATTTCCCTGGAAGTGAGAAGCTGATAGATAATCCAGTAGATTGACATTGATTTTAATTATCTTGGTGTTAATTATCATTGTAATGTTATAAAGTATCAGCTGATGAATAGATTATTATAACTTTCAAAAATATTTTGTTATTTAACGTTAGAAAGTTTATTTACAGGTTCATTCATTGACTGGCTAACGGCAGGTACTCTGAGAAGAGTAAAATTCTGCTGAGATACGGCTGTCCACAGATATTTGCCTAAAGTTTGGAACTTGACGCTAGAAATTCATCGTATACAAACGCTGGAGCTTTGAGGTTTAGTTTATAATAAGTGTAGAAAGTAAATTATCATAAGAAATCTGGCACTTTCATTTGATGTAATAGAACTCGGACTGATAATTTTAAAAAATATGTGGTACTCACTAAACTGGCACTGGCTTCTTGATCACAACGGACTTTTCCTTGATGACTTCGATGGGCACATGGACTGGCTTCGGGACTGGGATGGGCACATGTTTGTGAATGGGGACGATGTATGGCTTGGGAATGTGAACAGGAACATGAACTGGATATGGTTTAGGCACGGGAATTTCTTTATGAACGGGTACGACGTAAGGTTTGGGTACACGAATGACCTTAGGAACGGGATAAGGCTTGGGCACAGGAACTTCCTTGTGGATATTGATCACCTTGGGAACAGGGACTTCTTTGTGGATATGTTTAACAACGGGAACGACATGTGGCACAGGGTAAGGCTTGGGCACTGGAATGTGCTTAATGACGGGTACCGGCTTGGGAATGTGAACTGGCTTGGGTACCGGCACATGGTGTGGAATGGTGATGAGCTTCGGATTCTCTTTGATGATATATTTGATAGGTTGAGCTTTCCACTCATCGTGAGAGGATTCCCATTCTCCACTGGCGTGCACCAACGTCAAGCATGTGAGCAGCAGCGCTCCAAGACTTAGCCTGAGCATTGTAGTTTCTAAGAAAACAAAGGAAAAATTGCTTATTATTTGTTTATGGTAAATTTCTGCGCTTATGTGATAAAAAAATTTGAAAATATTTTATTATGTACATTTTATTTTCAAACTATTTCTGCATCAGTAATCTAGGTTTGAAAAATGATAAGCAGATTTTCTAAGATATCATGAACTAAATGCTCTTAATTAATATATATATATATTTAAATTTTATGCTCAGAAGAAAAATTTTCCTTCATCGGATTTTAAAAGCTATTGCTCAAAATTCCGTATACAACTGAAGCAACCATAAATATGAATCAGAAAAAAAAAAGGTTAACGTACCCTACCTAATTAATTAATTACCCATGTTAGTCTGGAAACATAATACAATTACCAAATTGCAGTTACCGATACGGATTCTAAGGTATTTGCTACGAAATATACACTTGTTAATGCAGAAGTCTGCAATAATATACTTTTACTGGCATTATTATTATATGATAACAGAAATACGTAGAGTGGGCAATAAAATAACTGCAGTGCTAATAAACAGTATTAGTAATAGCGATAAAAGAAATCCGTTCAGTCGACATAAATGAGCGTGTTCATTCTTAAAAATAATTCTGCAGTAGGAAATCTTTGTATTTAGCAATATTATTTATGTTTCAGAAAATTAGAGATAAATTCTAAATGTATTGAAATGTATAATGTTGAAGATAAAAAAAAGGCACGATAGCACATTTATTATTGAATGAAATTAAGTTTTATTTATTTTATTTATTTTTTATGTAAGCTTAAGCTGAAGCTGAACATTTTAATGACTGTTTCATTTCGCTAAATAACATTCGCATGCTTTATCTTTTTATATTAAATAAGCAAATAAAGTATAGTAAATTTTTCTGTAATAAAATTTATATCTGAGATACATAGAATTAGTTTTGCTTGAACATTTGCAAGAATTTTGCAGAAGGAATAGCTTTGGCCTAAGATATAACACTATTCACAATACGTCATTAAAAGTGTGCAAAATAACTGAAATATCTCATGTAAATATTCGTCAAGGAGATTCTGGATTTTTATCTCATGTAAATATTCGTCAAGAAGATTCTGACCGAGAAGAATGTTATGATTGAAACTATATACCTAAAACATCCAAAATGATGTTCAAAATTTATTTGAACTTAAAAAAATAAAACAACTCTAAAATAATGGCAATTACTTTTTTTATTATTTGTATTATTACACTTTCTACGAAAGGAATGATTATGACCTGGAAATTAATGAGATAAAATTAGTTGATATAAAATCTTGAAAGTTGTATTTTTGTATAAATTTTGAAACAAATTTGTAAAAAGCTACTTTTCGTTAGCTTTAAATGAAGCTAAAATGGATGTGAAAAAATCGAAGTTTCTACTGGACTGCCACTTAAGTCTAACAGCTGAGTAGAAATCAAAATAAAATTAATATAATGAAAGTTATGCATATGTGAAAAAAGTTCGGACAAAAATTGCAAGTTTCTAGCATATTTCATGGGCGAACGGGAATTCTCATATACTATACTAAACTAAATAATGCAATTCTTCTTTAATCTTTTAAACTCGTTTTAAAGTTAAATGGAGTTTCGACAAAATGTGCAAAACTGCTTTTCTGAACTGAAATAAAATATAAAAATGCAATAATCAGGAACTTGTTTCGTTTGAAATTGAACGATTGAAAATCATATAGAAAACTTTAACAATTTGACCGAGTAATACTAACATACAGATTTTTTTCGAACGTATTTGCCAATCAAAAATGACAAGTTTATTCATGAAAAGAAATGATGGATTCTTTGCCAATTTTCTGTCCAATAATATTTGAAATAAAGATACTTAGTTCCTGATTGGACTTTGTAACAATGAAAAAAAGCCTTTTGCTGTAGACCAACAGTTCTGAATTATAGTTCCGTTAGAATTCTCCAGAGAATTATGCAAGATTAGGATTTAAAAAAAAATAAGTAATTGCGCTGTGCTTATTCACCCAAAGTTAAAAGCCATTTTATGTTTGAGCTAAAGTATAGATTTTAGATCCTGAAATTTCCGAAAAATAAAAACAGACCAATTTTTAAGAATTAATTAAGTCTAGTTATGTTTCTTTTACCATGTAAGTTTACTTGAAAAGTTACCAGAAACAAAAAGAAAAACATTATTGCCTGTTTCATGTCTGTTTGCATCAAATGTACTACTAAGTACTAAGATTTTTAAGCCTATTTGAATGAGATAAACTAGATCAAAGAGGAGACTGAAGAAGCGAAGTTATTCAATTTAAAATTAAAGTAAAAGTTCTTTATCTGCACCTTAAAACTTCATTCGAATTCATGTTTTTCGTGGAGATAAAGAACCATAAAAAGGTAAGCTTTTAAGCTGCGCGAAATAAAAGAATCCAGTGTGATTTCTACTCATGAAAGGATTGATAACTAATCATTTTCCAATTATTTAAAAAAATATACGTTGTAGTACATTGATAATACATGTCCTTGCATAATCCATCAGATATAGATGTATTTTTATTTATTTATTTATTTATTTTTTTTTTAATCTGATTCTTTCTTTTCAAGAGACAGTGCGTAACTATCTACTCCGAGTGCTCATCATTAATACAGCCGGTCCGTTTTCTGTCTGTCCTGGACCACGCTGTGACTCCCTTTTGTTTCTTCCGGCCGGCACTACACGTGACCTATTGAAGTCGGAAAGTGATGAGGTAAAATGACCCGAATAGCAGCGAAACGGTGAAAGTGAGGAGGCGTAACTCATGCGCCCTGTCAGTAGCAAACAAAGGCCGAGCTTTCCGTGTGACCGGGGTGATGTAATGTAACTGGAGGCTATTTTTTATCTTTCCCTTCCGCATAGACGTCTGTCTGAACGAAAAGAAGCGTTTGTTGTTGTTTTTATTTGTTTAACTCACTCCTTGCAGGGATGGGAGATTGAAATTGTAGCCGAGCGTTGAAGATACATCCTGCTCTTTATTAAGTAGTGTTATTTTGCCAATTATAGGAATTATTTAGGCCATTTCTAGAGCACGAATGTCTTATTTGCTATAAACAGTTTTTGTATTTACTGTCAGGAAATATATTTATGTTGAAACCAGTTTATTTCGCATGCGTAGGGTTTTACTGAAGACTAAATTAGCAATGAAAGAGAACTTGAACTTGTTTTGAATTTATTGTTATTCTAAACCTCTGTTAAAAACTTCCAGTGAAGTTTTACTTAATGTCTGGAAATTGAAGGAAAACATTTCTCTTTAAATATTTATAAACGTACTAACACTGCAAAAATATGTTGCGCCTGCAGTGTTCTTGGTTATGTCTTATAAGAAAAAAGATAGTCATAAGATAGACGCTTTGGAGTATAAAATATGTTTGACTCCTAGAATTATCTTTTTTCTAATTTAAATTTTGGTATGACTTTGTTGTGTTTCAAAGTGATAAGTGTATTAATATTAATTAATCTAGATGTTTAAAATGGCAATTTGTTATTTAAAGGTTATTAATTAAACTGTATTTTCATATGAGAATTTAACAGGAATGAAATTGCATTCATGTAATATTTTAAAAGAAAAGTGCTAAATGTATAACATCTTTTATACGTAATTGCGATATTATATAGAATAAGACAGTTTGATGTACATTTTCTATGTAATAATACTCATTTTAAAATTAGATAAATTCACGTTTAGACTAGAATTAAATTTAAAGAGAAGTTCTATGCATTTCGTGAGAAACTAACAGAAGGCTTTTTCTCTTTGAAAATTAAAAACACGTGTCATATATTCCCGAAGTTGCCAGAGTCTGTCTTCTAAATTTAGCGTGAAGCTAGAATTCAGTTTCTTTCTGAATATAACGTAAGGTTTCCCTTTTGCATATGATTATTGATCGAGATTCAAGTTTAATTATGGTTTAATTTCCTAACTACTGCTCCGTTAAACAGAACCGAGTTTTCTTCACAATTCATATTAATAACACGTAACACAGAATAAACCACCGTTGATAAAAACAATTTTCTGTACATAAATGATAGCGAAGTGATAAACCTATTTTTTCTCACTTTTAAACCAATTAAAAGTTTAGTAATTGAAGTTTAAATTAAAGTCTCCATTTTCAGTTGTATTCTGCTTTCTCACTGTGTCATTGAATGATCTACAAACTAAAACTACTGACAGGATATTTTCTCCTTTGTTCGTGCTTGTAAGACCGACTGCGCAAACAACGGTTAGGGAAAAGGAAAAACGAAGAGTGCAATATCAAGAAGCGGAAGGAAGAACTCTTTCACACGCGGTTGATCTCACGCAATTTGCTGAAAGTCCTGGTCACTATCTGTCACGAAAAAACATTTCAATAAGTTGTAATGAACTGATTTCATGATTATAGATCGAAATGAAAATTTAATGATGATTAAATTACGTAAAATGCTACTCGGTTTAAAACAGAATCGAGATGTTCTTGATTTTCCCCCTTTCTTTTTTAGTTCCGTGACTGAAATAAATTTATACCTGCGCGTAAGGGGAGTAACTATAGGGAGCATTTACGGTATACCCTACGTAGAAGATACTTCAGAAGGATTAAATAACCTTTTTATTTGAGTTAAAGTAACAAATGCGCGCAGTCTGTGCTCACAATTCACCACCACTTGTAGCTAAACTTAATTGAACAGAAAATAAAAATGTAAAATTACAATAAATTACGATGTCTAAACGACTGGGTCCTTAGTTATCTAAACCGCTAAATCGACTGCACACAGCAAAGCCGAGACTAAATGAAATCTAAAGAGGGTGACTAACACCAACTAGAGCTATTTCAAACATGCAGCATAAACTCGGAACTAACTCCGCTATTACTTCTCACGAACTCTTGAAACCGCAGCTTAAATACTGCTTTTGAAAATACTTAGATTTTCCATACTACGTCATTAAAAAAGTCTCACTAAAAATAATTGGTTAGAATAAAGTAAGGTCTTTATAGTATCATCATATCTTTGTCTTTAAAGTTTGAAAGAGTCTTAGCAATCCCATTTCCTATTGTCAGATTTCCTGTAATTTAAATACATCAGACAGAAACTTTATTCCGAGACTTCGATTTAGCCAGGATGTTACGATTTCCAGGCAAAAGAAAGGAAAAAAGAATGAATATATTCTTCACTGAAATGCTATCCTGTCATTTTACTAGTACAGAAATAAAGCGTGCTTTAGGTAACACAGACTTTATTTTAATCAGTAAATATTTAATTTCTTTCTCCGCAACAATATCTGAGAAGTGCTAAATTATCATATATTATGTAACTTCGATGTATTGTGAAGCACTTGGGAAAATTAAAGATGGAGATTAAGTAACTAATATATTTTTTCTTTTATTAGTTGAAAGTACGAGATTGCAATTTAGCTCAAAGGAATACTTAATTATTATGGTGTACAACCTTTTCATTAAATAATATTTCATTTTTAGACAGAATCTCCTACTTTTGTATTTTCGCTTTACATTATGGTGATGTGGAGTTGACAGGCTGTCATATAATAAGCTGTCATTATTTAAATTTTACGCAAAAACAAGAAAGCTTTAATTGTTCATTCAAATATGAAGAACTGTCGTTTGTTTATTTAAGAGCCTTTTTATAAAGTGTGAATTTATGTTTTTAAAGCAAACTGTAGTGCAAATTTAAGTTGTCTTAAGAATACATTTCTCCTATTAGATTCCTATTCCTATTAATCCTATTCCTAATTCATATATCAGATCCGGCGTTTTAATTAATTAAATATTTTATTTTGCAGTTGTATTTTAAAGTTTTATGGACGAAGTCTAATCGTTATACTTCAAAAGTAAATATCATTTTATTGTTATCAACTGACCTATAACAGAGCTCTTTAGTATGAAAAGAAATAATGTACAAGCATGAAATTTATTGGGAAGATAGTAAAGGAGAAAATGTTCATTATTTTTAAATCTCTTTTAAGTGTCATTTCTAAAATTAGGCTGCAATATTCTATTTCAGCATTGTGAGCCTTTTTATACACACTTACTTATACTTAAAATGCTTACTTTATATACTTAAAATAATTACACAAAATATTTAAAAAAATTGAGAAAGTATAGGTTAGTTTAACAGCAACTGAATTTAGGCATATTTTTACGTGCTTATTTTCTGTACAACCTCTCTGCTAATTTTCATGATCTATGGAACTTATATTACTGGCTTTTTTATGAACCTTTCATAATTAATTGTATATTACAATCTTTCTCAGACTTACCCTTTTAACTTTTGCACACAATATGCTTGCAAAATTACGCTTTTACTTTGCTTCAATTGTTTTTTCCCTGACTCTCATTAATCCTTCAAGCGACAGGAAAATTGTCATTTCAAGCAGCATAAAATCTTTTATTACTTTACAAATTACAACAGTATGTTGCTTCTCAAAAGTATAATTCAACGTGTCATTTAAAACGTCACATAATTGTTGTTTGACAAATTTCAGTTTTAGCAAATTTATTAAACTTTATGCCACTAGTATAATTTCTGAAACATAGATTTAAAACCATATATTATGTACTTGTAATTATTTAGGCAGAACACTGTTCTTGACATAAGGACGGAAACAATCGTTTTTGTTAAATATAACAAAAATTAAATCAAACTGAATTATTTTGAATTTAATTGCAAAATGAAAGAAATTTACTGACAACTGCAATAATTTTACAGAAATATTTTTTCCTTTAATTTTGCTCAGGAATTATAATATGCTTGCACATTTTCTATCTTAACATTTTCTCATTTTAAGACAGAAACGTTTCTTTCTAATATTCATTATGCTGTAAAAAGTAAGAGATGTTTGTAAATGCTATTTCACTGAAAGTTTCTAAAGGCTATGGCACTGAATTTGCATTCGGTGTTAAGCTAAATATAAATAAACTATATCCTGAAATTTTATGCACTTTATTTTAATAAATATTTGTAAGCGCTCTCAGAAAAAAATTGGCACAAAAGGTATGAATAAAATTAATAATTCATAAGTAAGAGTGAGAGATCAGGTAAAATTCAAGATGGAAAGGAACTTTAAAAAATGAAAAGAAATGCAAACGAGCAGCTGTTATACACTATTAATTATCCTTTCAATTCTCCAGAACGGGTGATTCTGGAAGGTTGTTTTTCCTTGTGTCTATCAGTTTCACCTAAAACGAAATGGCTTGTTACGCCTGTAAAGTAACCATTTCCTTTGGCATATGTACTAACAGGAAAAACCAATCTTAAGGCTATATCGGTAGGGACAGATTTCAAAGAAAGAAATACATTTTATTGCAGTTCAAGCTATTTAAAGATGGATAGGTCAAACATACAGAATTTTAAATATATTTTATTCTTATAACTAACGTCCGTAAACAGGTGATGATTGCAACATATTTTAATTATTTGCAACAAAAAACGGTCCACATGTTTTATATATATATATTTATATATATATATAATATGAATAATATTAATTTAAATATTTATCCAATTATTATTATTATGTTCATGAAAAAAAGTTATCTTATTCTTTCATGTGAATTTCATCAACATAGCAGAGGACTGAATTTTATGTTAACGTCAACCGCAAATATGGTCTAATTTTATAAATTTTGGGGATTTAAGGACTTAGGTCAAAGGAAGTGTCATGAAAATTCCAACTCACAACAATTTAAATTCTTTCGAAATATATAGAATACTAAAAGCCTAACTCCAGTTAAGGAGAAATTTCGCCTAGTTTCAAAATTCAGCTATGTTCTTTGTTGATGACTCACTGCACAGAAATTAAAAATATTTCTTTTCCAGAAGCTGTCAGAAAGCAATTTTAAATCGTTATCTTGGATCTGTTTTTTATGAGTATTGGTTTCCATTGGAATTTTAACGGCAGAGAAATAAAACCAATTTAAATTGTAACAAAAATTTCGTAGTAAAATGTTAATTACTTGAAAACAAACTAGATTAGAATTTTTAATTGTACTTCACAAATGCAAAGTTTAATTCTGTTCATTAAATATTTAGTTAATATTTCAATGCTGCTTTTATGCTTTTAATTTATGAAAAACATTATTTAATTTCCAACATTTATCATTAACACTTTATTTCTAATCAATTAAATACTTTTTAAGCATTTAATTGATTAGAAATAAGACGCTATGTTTTAAACTTCACTATCAAAATATTAAAAGTCAATTTCTAAAATTGTATTTTGCCACACAATCTCTGCGTTATCACAAATGTTTTAAACCTAGCATAATAAATAGCAATGAAATTTGTTTAGCGAAAGACTATTTCTTTCAACATTGTTTCATTTGATTAACTGGAATAATAAAATATGTGATTATAAGTTAAGAAAAATCTTTCAAAATGCATTTTAAACATTTCTTTCTAAAATAGAGTTTTAAGCAGACGAACTTAGAAAAATGTATCGTAACAAGATCATCTCTTATAACTGTGCCTCATTGATAAAAAAAAATATGCAGTAAGCAGAAACTATCATTTAAACGGATGGTTGAAGAGAACACAGAAGATTTCTGATAACATTTTAGAAAATTTAAGTTGTTAAATATATAACAATTATAAAATTTAAAATGAAATATTTGTTGAGGCATAGATTATTTAAATCTTATCAGACGACTTATTTTTAATATTCCAACTAACTAATTAATATAAATAAGAAAAATGTATAAAAACATGAAATGAGTATATGAACAGAAATAATAAATCATCTTCGAAAAATAATTTTATACTAGAACAACTTAAAAGCAGTGCTTTTATATAATAATCCAAATTATCGTTAGCTATATTCACTCAATGAATCTCACGACAAAAATTTTTCTAAATTATGCAAGAAATATTTAATATTATTTCGAAGAGTTCAGATGTATTTCATAATGCAATTTAATTATTGTATACGCTCCCATTCATCCTTAACTATAAGAAGCTAATGATTTGTTAAAACATAAGAAAGCAATAGTTAAGACATTCAAGATATGTGTAGCATATGGGCTCTGTAAACAATCAAAAATTAAATGCATTTTAAAGAGTTATATTCTAAATCTGAATATAACTCTAAGGTGAATTATCGGTAATATCCTTTAACCAGAAGTTGCAAAAATATAATGATATACGAATTTAATATTATGACGTCCATGAACTGATGAAGAATATAATGGGGATCTCGGTAGCCGAGTTATCAGTATTATTCCTTGATCATAGAAGGCAAAGTGAGGAAACTGCGTATCGATACAATGATCGAAAAATTTAGTTAATTTGGAATAGGATTTTAATTGGAACTTCTGAATGATGGGTAATATCCTTTAATCACAAAGGCTAAAAGGAGGATATAACTCGATAAGGCAATGCGCTGAAGAACTTAAGTCCATCCGTTTATAAAACCTTGGACAGTGTCCAATAAGTATTCCACTTGAAATAAAAATGTCGGCACTAATATCCAGCAATTGGTGAGGAAGACCCAAAAGAAGTTGGACCTACCTGAGATCACTCCCGCCTCGCTTGAAAAACTTTCTCCGCGTTTGTTGGGGTTAATTGACTTTGAGGAAAAAGCGAATGAATGCTGTGGCGACCGGCCTTCCAAAACTTTTATACTTCGCCTGGACCAATAAGACATGGCCGACCTATTTGGGACAAGAAAAAGGGAATCGCCATTTTGCAAAATATAGGACACTGAACCTTGAAGGCATGGAACGCCTCTGGCGGGATATACTCTCACACAGCGGACAGAAAATCGGAGCAAGTGTTTGCTTGTTTGTTTGCTTGATTTTTTAATATTATTGTTTTCTTCTTTTTTCGATTCTTCAGTTTCCCCTTTTTCCGTTGGATCTTTTCGCTTTCGTTCGACACGTTTCGATACGCCTTTAAAGAAGAAACTTTCTTTTTGTTCGATGTTTATTTTTAGAGATTCTACAAGAAATCGGCCGATCTGAATTAATATTTTGAAGCTTTTAAAATGGTTGGATTACTACAGTAAAGTGTTGCGATTTTATCGTAAACATTTGTTTTCGGAAGAGCAGAATTTTGAGGTCTTTTCTTCTGAGTTTTTAAGTGCTTGTTTTGAAATAAAATAAAAATCAAACAAAATTAAACTGCTTTTGTTAAGATCTTTTGTACCGAGGAAAGTGTTTTATTGTTGAATCATTTTCCTATAGATTACACGCAGTTTACTGAACTATTACTAGTAACATAATTTAGCATATTTTATTTTTATTATAATTTCATTTTGACATAAACATATACATTTTACCTAAATATATTAAAATTGTTATTACGATATAGCAATCCGAAGTGGATTTCATGTAAGTTTTCGTTCTGAAATACATAAAAGTAAGCATCCGCTCAGGAAATCAGTAACTATGATTCCTAAAGCTCTCCTAACACAGATAATTCGCAAATTATTTACTATGTTAGTTATTCATTTATCTTTTAAAACTGTTGCTTTAAAGATAGTTTTACGTCAGTATTTAAAGATAACTTTTGTGTAGATATCTCAATTTATCTCTACGAAGTAACTGATAAGCAGATTTATTGATCTTTCTTGAGGTTTATAATGGAAAATTAATTCAAACTGTATTGTTCAATGATGAGTTTTCCTACTTTCTAATTAGTGAACATAATATTAACTTAGTTATATTAATTTGGTTCACTTTTTCTGTTGTTAACATTAACCTGATCAATGGCATAATGTATATAAAAGTTAGAATGTTTAATACTGACATTAAAAGCAGTTCATTTTAAATAAATTATTAAACCGTTATTTGATTTCAATTTATTACAATTATCGTCTGAATGTATTGTACGTTAAACACATGGTGCACTTTCTATATTCTTTGGAAACCTGACTATTTCAGATAGTGTTAGTGACTGAGCATTTTTCTAAGTGGAGAATAAGTATCTTGGCATTTAGTTTGTAAAATATGATATCTTGCTCACTGTGCCACGTTTAGCCACCGTGCCACCTTTGTTTTTGCGCCCTAATCACTTCAAAATCTATAGTCGAAAAGGTTTTCTTTTTAATCTGGGAAGAACAGAAAATCACATCGGGTCAGATCTGAACAATATAATTAGCAGTTTTAAGTTTCTCAATAGTTACGACGCTCACTAGTGACCAAGCGGTAAAGTTGCTGTGCCCTGGTAGTTCTACTCGGATTAAACTCCTGTCGAATGACAACTTGCATGGGCATTTTCATGGTTTTATCCATGTGTAACGTGGTTTTCAGAGTCTTTCAAGAAGGCATTCCTTCCCTCAGGCAGACAACCCTCGCGTTCTTTGCCAGAAAACCAAACCGAAAAGAAATGATCATCTATAGGTGAATATTATCACCTACAAGGAACATATTTCGTTTTGTAAATTCAAATGACGTCCTACAGCATAGTATAAATATATCAGTAGTGTACTGAATTGAACTGCATTAACTGGAGATGCTTTTTCCAAAAACATATTGTTACATTTTCTGATATCAAAGTACAGCAGCCATATATTTATCAGATATATTACATACACTCTATCGTCTGTCGTCTATATAGACCTTCCTTAGTTCATATGTTACTGATTTGATTTTAAGTAATATTTACTTCTTCCCAGTTCTCAAAGAAAACTTCTGTGGGTACAAATTTTCATCTGATGAGAATTCTAAAATAGCGGTGACATGGTGGCTGTATTTCCAAAATATTTCGTTTCATGCACTGAAAAATTTAAGAGCATGTTTAAATGCTTCAGTCTATATGCTTGAAAGTAAAAATAAAGTGTCCATCACACGAATAGCGTACAGTATATTGTATCCAAATAAATATTGTAATAATCTTTGAAAAGCTTTTTTTGAGACGATTTTAATTTTTGAGGACTATTTAAATAGTTTGAATTAATAGGAAGAACTTATTAGAAAGTTTCTTAACAATTAGCCCGTTAAGGCGAATTCCTTTATATTCATGAATGAGTAGGTTAGAGTTAAATGCTATGATTCGTATTAACAGATTTCAGCCAAAACTTGTGGTTTTTTACAACCTTTGGAAGCAATTAGAGTGTTTTCCATTAAAACCATTTTGACTTATTTCCGAGATGTACATTTGCTCACATCCTTCGGCAATAACTGTACCTAAATACAAATAAACTCAAAAGATAAATTAAAAAACACTCTGAACATTTTGTTATCGTTTAACTATTTCTGTTAGCCAGCAGATAATATTGACTGTGGATTCTTTAAGAAGATTAGAAATGATAGCTCAGTTTCTCAAATTAAACTTGCACAAGTTTTCTTTTTACGTTTTATGTATAAATCTGTGCATATTTCTAAGGCTATAAGCGACGCAGAAGGGAATAATGGCCTATTCCTGTCAAAATAATCCGAATAAATTACTTCACTGAGACTTAAACACAGCGATATTTTTTTTCGCAATAAAAGAATTGTTGTTATTCAGTATATTAGCTTAAAAAACGTATAACCATACTTTATGCACAAAGACGAAAAAATTGTGCATAACTGACTATGAACGTAACTCCCAAGCTGATGATGTTAAGAAAATTATTTATGCGTTTTGCTTCATACATGATTATACCTAGCCAAATATTTTTAGATATCAAATAAATTTTAATGTTTACTAAGATTAAAAAATACCTGTGTGTATCATTTAATTTTCTCGCGCTAAACTCTCAAGCATAAACGATATTTCATTTTGAAATTATTGCACGATTTGTTCAAGCAATGGTTGTAAATACAAGGACATATCAAAACGTTCACCTCTAGCTCATTACCGATGTTCAAACTTGTGTAATTAATGTATTTTTTGGAAGCAGAGTTATCTTTTTGGAAGAGAGTTGGCTGACTAATCTTATCGTTAAATGATCATATATAGGCTCTTTACACTCTCGTTTCTCTGCAGATTGAGATATTCTCTGGCTAAATTTGTAAAAAATTACTGTATGCTCTCGTGGTGTAAATAGTTAACAGGTTCTCTTAGTAGTTCAAATCTCGGCTTGATTATAGGTCATGATAATCCTGAAATGATCTAGGTTTAAGCTGAGACTCAAGCAGCGGACCTCCTATCCGCTATAACTGAACCAAATGAACTCTATTTTCGTATAAATTTTCCTTAATGATATTAATTGCCTTGACTGACTAATTTGATCATCTGTGACTGAAGTTCTCAAGTAATAAATTTAATATAATCATAACTGATATCAAATTTATGAATTTTGTTTCCAATATGTAGCTTTTTGATAGCAACATTAATCGGTATCCGTGAGATTAAAATACTAATTTTATTCTTTTACTTAATATTATGTTATAAATTAAATAATAGGTGTTGTTTCGAACCGATAGGCATTATTACGATAGAATAAGCTCACCAGCTGAGATTTTTAAAGTTTCACATTTTAATAAAGCGGATATATATGAGCAAGTCAATTGACTTGAATGTTCATAGAAGATAATATTTGCTTGTTTATAAAGCAAATGCCTGAACATTTCTTAGTTTAGACATATAGATTTAGAAGTGTGAGATCAGTATGGAAAATCTCAGTATCCGTTCAAGCCATTTTAATTAAACTAAAAAAAGCATGAAACATTTAGATTACGTTCTCGAATTTTTTATGCAGTTAGTTACTAATTAAAAATGATGTCACTATTAAGGGACCTTGTGAAGACAGAAATTAGGTTACGAATTCAGTTGCATAAAATCATTATTTCTTATGGACATTTATTTAGAAAGTTGCAATTAAATTATTTTCAGAAATTAAAACTGAAAACCCATAGTAACCGATAAGTTAATGACAACTCGAGTATGCGAGACTGAATGTTGTCATAAATTAGCATGTGATCGGAAGGCTTTCAACTAGATAACAAGCAAAGTTATGCAGTGAATTAAAATATTATAAAACATCATTTCCAAACTTTTGATGAGGTTTAACAAGCAGATGTGTCTCGATGCTTAGACCAAAACCGAAAACGTGTCACAGTTTCTTTTATTGGTTATAATTGAAAAACAAATCAATGACTACTTTAAAAATTGCAGATTATCCCTTAGCTGCATAGGATCTCAAATATCTCGAAACATTGTCAATGAAAGGCTTCATAAAAGAGGTCTCTAAATGAGGAGATTTATTTCCCATTGACTCAAGGTACGAAATGTACCTAGTTAAAATAATGCGGAGCATTAACTGGAACCGATTTTTTTTATATTGATGGGTATAGATTTTCTTTAGAAATTATTCTGGGCGCATTATGTGATCTGGAAGAGATAAATACACCTGATAATCTTCGGAGTATACACCTGATAGCCTTCCGATCACATGATGTTCTTCAACACGATAGTGGTGGAGTCGTTGTTCGGATGGGCTTCATTTCGAACAGCCATTCAAACATGCATTATATTTACCAATGATTTTCGAACAGAGACTTCTCAAAGATAGAGGAACAAAGTTCTTTTTCTCTATATTAAGGGTCTTTATTAAGGTATATTAAGGGTCTAAGTTCTTCTATTACTGCCTTTCTGAAAGCTTTCAGATTTTATATTACGCCCAAAGCGTCATTTATTTAATGTTTTGTGCGTTACCTTAATTTATTAAATATTATGTTCTTCGAATTAAAACGCATAAAATTCAACTC